TTGTAGAACAACATTGAAAACTATTTGTTTGCTGAAAAACGTTCACTGGCCGCTTACAGTAATGTTTGGTTTGCAATTATAGGAAGACACTGACGCAAATGAAATGGATTTACGTGCGCAATGTTATGATTCTCGTAGCCTGGATGGAGGTTGCTTTCTTGCAGGAGGCTGCTAATTTGTAAAATGAAAGTGTAATAAAGGAAAATTACAAAAAGTAAATGAAGTTATCATGTCTTTTATTTTAGGGAAACGTTTGTTTAATCTGTTCTGTTTTAAGTATTGAAGTTATGTTTCGTTTGCTCTTAGAAACACCCTTGTGAGTCTTAGAATGTTAAAAGATTCGGACTGGCCCCTCTGTCTGAAAATATTTCTTGTCAATTATCCTCTGTAGTATTACGTTAAAACTTCTAGAAGCGTACAGAGACACAAATAGGGAGCGATGGCCCGTCGATATTTTTTGCGGCTTGGTCAACAAAGTCATGGAAACTTTTTCGTCTTGAAACATTCCCGAAAATTGTTATCTGCTCTATATTCCTTTATAATTGAATTTTGTAAACGAAGTGTAAGAAGCGATAAAAAATCACGACGTTTCGACCTCTCCGAGGTCATTTTCAAGTGTATAAAAGTTCTCTAAATTAGCATAAATAAGTTAAAAACAAGTTATAATAGATAAAAATGTGGTGAACGCTAAAATGTGATAAAATATGTAAAAATGTAAAAAGTGCTAAAAGTATTTATAAAGTCAAAATACAATGGAAATAAAACAATGTTAACAAGAACTACTCTAAACAAATAATTCGGCGCGAATTGAATCGCACTGTTTGTTAAGCGTCGGTTTCAGTTCTTGGATAAAAAACATTTCAAAAATAAGGCACTCAAATTTGTTCTGACACTTTCTTAAGATTCTAAAACTTTGTGCGATGTCTTCAGGCTCCATATCATGCTGCTCTCTGAGGTGGTTTCTGATTGCCGATCCTTTGTGTTCTTCAATTCGTTGGTGTAGGCGTCGGCACGTCCCTACACATTGACTACTTGCTTACGATCTACACTGGAAAGAATACACCACGCATTGTTGACTCACAAGAGGCGGCTTGTCTTCCTTGACCTTAATTTCATCTTAACAAACAGTGCGATTCAATTCGCGCCAAATTATTTGTTTAGAGTAGTTCTTGTTAACATTGTTTTATTTCCATTGTTTTTTGACTTTATAAATATTTTTAGCACTTTTTACATTTTTACATATTTTATCACATTTTAGCGTTCACCACATTTTTATCTATTATAACTTGTTTTTAACTTATTTATGCTAATTTAGAGAACTTTTATACACTTGAAAATGACCTCGGAGAGGTCGAAACGTCGTGATTTTTTATCGCTAATATTTATCTCAAAATCGATTTCTAAGAAATTACTTATGAAGTGTAAGAAGTTGTTTTGGTTTTTTAGTGCTTGTCCTTTTGAAACTTGTTCCTGATGTTTGTTGGTCACCTTCATTCACTGTGTGGTTTCTCAATGTTATTTAGGGCATCCCGTGAAAGGATAGAAATGTATAAAGATTTAAATTGGTCTGCAAGCCTAATTGTGTTATTCTTATCAATTTAGTGTTTTATTTTGTTTTTCTACACATGTTGTAAAGGATTTAAAACATTGGAAAAAAAGATTGTATTGCCCGTTTAGTAAATGGATGTCGTTTTCCCAGTGCGGTCATTGTGATCGCATATTCAAATTGCAGTTAACGTCAGATGGGTTAAGAATGGCGTGAGAAGGCCAGCAAATTAATTGGAAGAAAGAACGTTATTGTATAGTAAAATTGTATTTTAGATCCGCAGGTTTTCTAGTGGAACAAAATAGTTAATGAAAGTGACTTTTTTCTTTATGTTTTCTGGGAAATCCCTGTTTGAATTGAAATTGTTTCCTTGCTGTCCTTTTACAATGTGGGCTTATAGCTACGTCAAATGTCACTGAAATTGCAGATTAGGGGTTTTTAACCTTCTCATTGAGGACTGGTTAAAATTTCAAAGCTATGATAATGATTTTGACCCTACTGAAGCCAACAGGCAATTTATTAGAGTGTACAGTGCTATTCCTGATAGAGATGTGTTATTTCAAAACCGTAACGAGCATCCTGAAGAATTACTTAAACGGTTAAACGGGAGGTTTCCCGAAGTGTATTAAAATTGTAAAACACTCTTGCTTTTATATATTTCCAGAACTACCTTAGAAGAATTAAAATACAGACAATTGTGCCAATTTACACTTTGGAAAAACACAACAGATGATGAATTGTGCGCACGTTGTTTTCGAATTGTAAGTTTGAAGTTGTGAATTGATGAAATTACAGACGCTGGTTATTGGAAATATATGAACGCAACAGCGTTCGAAAGAGCTCAAATGCAACAAAAGTGTTTTTTGTTATATTTTCGTGTATTTGAAGAATTTTGAAGTGATAGGCGGGACACAGTAGGTGATCCCATACGTCCCGAGTGTAAAGTAAGTGGTGAATAAAAAATGAAAATGTACGGTAAAATAACAGTGAATCGTTATTGACTTGGGAAAAGGGCAAACAACATGAAAATAAATGTTGTTGGGTCAAGCGTGAAAAACAACATGCAACGAACAACATAAAGGCATCCTACTTAATTCATTGTGAACTTTTCCAATCTTCGCCTGCCATTCCCTACGAAATACATTCAGCGCATACTTTTCCAAACGAAGTTTCTTTGAAAACTGTCCCCCATGATTAAGTCCCGCCATGATTTTCGTTTGGAAATACGTGCTTTTGACTTTCTACTGTTTTAACTTAAAAAAGTGCGTGGTATTGTGTATAAAAATGCCATTAACAGTAAGTCTTATATATCCTTTGTTACTACCAAATACTTTATAATAAAAGTGTACATCGTTTAGAGACTGCTCGAGGTATTGTGTGGAAAAAGCATTATTAAGTGTAGGCTAGTATTTGTTACTGCAAAAAACTAGCACTTGGACACACGCTTCTTGTTTTGTCAATTAATTTTACAAAAACGCTTGCTTAACGTTGGTTTTTCGAAAAACATTCTTTCGCAGACTGACCCTCTGCAGATTTTAACTTAAGAAAGTGCGTGGTATAATGTATAAAAATGCAATTAACAATCAGTTTTAATTCTTAATTCGTTTTTCGCGACGTATTGTGTGGAAGAAAGATAATTAGCGTTGGTGACTGCAAAATAACGATGTCGGCAAAATTGTAGTAAAGAGATAGCAACGTCCCTACGGACCGAACTTTTGCGCGCGTGAGCAAGTCGTTGTTTATCGCTCTTATAAGAAAGACTGTTTAGCAAAACCTTTTACAGTACGTAGTACTACAATCGCTTTGCTGTCTGTCCTTTTCTTCTGCTGATTTTGCTGATTTTGCTATGGAGTCGCTTCAAGCCATTGCACTGAAAGCTATCGCCCATCCAATGGAGGAAGCAAAGAAGCTTCATCAAAAGCACCCGCTGGCGCGTGATCTGTGTAAAGAAGAGCACAAGCGGAAATTTAGGCAAGTAATGTCACAACCTATTTGTTTGTCTACTTGTCCTTGCGCTGAATGGTGTTTTTTATACGGACAAAGTTTAGCGTTTGGAGGAATTATTTGCCAGCATTGTTGCAGAATTCTGGAAGAACGACAAACGATAGATTTAAAAATATCCCGAAGGAAGGGAGCTTCAGAAAGGATTCAAAGAGAATTAGAAAAACAGTTTAGAAATATTTACTTGTATGTATAGTATTTTTAACCGTGTCCTTTTTACAAATTTTATATATCAACGCTTTACGAGTTAACAAAGTTAAAATTCTGTCATGTCACAATGTGGTCAAGACACCCTGATGATGGTCACTGTAGACATTGTAAAAGACTCGCGTTTTTTAGATTAACAATCGATGGAGCACTGTCCCCACTAAATGAAAATTTCTCTATTACTACATACATTAATGAAGTCGCCAAAAGTAAATCATGATATAGAGGAACATGGGTTACGCTTTTATCTTAATTTGTCCCTGCTAAAAGTGTTTATGTTTTACAATAATTGTGTTTTACTTTTGTAGACCTACGCTCGACGAGTTATTCTGCTTGAAATTTTGTTATACCACTTTGTAGGTCAGAGACGATAAAGATTTTTTCTGTAGACATTGTGTTCGACTAGGCTTTTTTCAATTAACAATCGATAGTAGTATAGGGTGCACCACGGTTTCCACTTTTTTGAGCAGGAATCTCAGAAGCGTGAGCAGGAATACATTAACGCCGATGACGTCATAGGCTATTGTCCTCATCTCATGAACAAAATGCGGTGGATTTAATTAAGTATACTGGTTTGACCGGTTTGTCAGGTTCTATTTTTAGCCTGGTTGATATAACTGGTTTATTTTTGTTTATGACATAACCTATTGTCTTGAACTCATGAATAAAATGCGGTGGAATAAATTAGCGTCGATGACGCATGAGTCTTTTGTCTTTATTCATAGTGCGGTGGATTTAATTAACGTGTTCTATATTTAGAATGCTGGTAAAACCCGTTTTTAAAAGCTCGCTTTCTTCCAAGCACATCATTCGCAAGTTGTGAGTTTGAGTAGTTATCATGGATTTTGATACCACTTTGAATGAGTTTGAAAATTATATCTGGCGCGATGAGACTCCAAGCGATCAGATGTTGGATCGAATGATGGCTTTATGCTTTCCAGAAGGAGTAAGTTGAATTTTTTACTTATTAACGCACTTATTAAAGTTAATCTTTCCCTAACAAACTATGTATTTCTTGTAGACTCAAGATTCATCGTTTATTGAAGAAATGATGGAGCCATCTTTAAACCAAATACAAAGTGGATCAGGCAGGAAACGACAGGCAGAGGTAAGTGTAAGTACTTGATTTTCTCCCGCTCGTCAAGGTAGTTAATATATGGTTTACTCTCATTCTATAGGATGATGTAGACAAGTCTCCAGCTAAAATGCCTCAGTATGAATGTCCTACTTGTAAAAAAAAAAAAAAAAAGTCTTTACACGACCACATAACTTAAAACAGCATAAACAGATCCATTTCAAGGAAAAGAAGCACCAATGTTTCAAGTGTGACAAGACATTCCATCGGAGATCAAACCTACTGCGCCACAAGAGGCAAGTCCACGAAAAGCGTGCTGCAGCTAGAGAGTACAAGTGCAATACCTGCGGAGAGCGATTTCATAATCTGGCGCCATTCCAAGCTCATCAGAAGACAGCTCACAGCCAACCCTTGCCTAGAGCTACAAAACGTACACGGGATGATGAAGCAGGTAAATCTTTTTTTAGTTGTACGTAAATGTTTACTTGCTTCACACAAAAGATGCTAAGACCTATTTCTTTGTTAAAGGTCTTAATTCCATGCAAATTAACGGTTAAAGCAGTGAAGCGTAACATAGTCATGTGCTTATTTTGAGTAAGTTAAACAATGGAGCCCATTTCTGAATTTTAGTTAGACATTAGGAGTTTATTTCTTTGTTAGAACCAAAGCCCAAGCGTATAAAGCCAAACCCCGTGGAAGAAAGGAAAGCAACTTCTAACTGGCAAGAAGACCCCCGCACCATGTCTGACCTACCCCAAGAACAGCAACATTCCCTTCCTGAGTACCGCCGCCATTGGCATCAAATCAGAACCCGTTTCAGCCGTCATAACCGTCTTTCTGACTGGTATAACTTCCGCCTAACCTCCCTTCAACCACGAGAGATTTCCAACCACTTAGACGAGATCTTCACTGATCAGTCCACAGTCTTCAAAATCAATGTGTCCTTTGCGTTTTTTCTAAGAAACAACGAAACCGGTGAGTTGCAGTATTATTACGCATCAAGAAACAACGAACAAGTCTTTGAAGAACCTTTCCAGATTACAACCGCAGCCGACCTTCCCCAAGTTCGCGAAGCATTAAAGAATCTCGATGTCTTGGAATGGGTACGCCAGCGGCGTCCCAATTCTAAATGGGTTGTGGATACAGTGACCAATGTCACCTTCTTTATAACCAAGATTCGAGGTCATCCTATTGGAAGAGGCACCGATTTGCCCAAGTACCTTAGTAACAATAATGGCTTACTTCCCTTGGACCGAGACCATAAGACTGGTAAAGTCTACAGCGACAATCTCTGTTTTTTTCGGGCTCTGGCACTCCACAATGGCTGTCACCCCAAGAACCTTGAGAGAGATGCAAAGCATTACTACGAGAGATATCGCGAAGCACTATTCGACAAAAAGAAGTTCTGTGGTGTAAAACTGAAAGAACTGCCCGACATAGAACACCTCTTTGACGTCAATATCTTTGTATATGCATTGGAGCCCACCAAGCCCGATGGAGAGGAGGAAGATGAAGACAATACCGAAGAAGGAAATACAGTACCAGACATTGCTGCACAATTGGTATTATCTATTATTTATTATTATCTATCCTAAGAAATTATTAACAGCAAAAATGAGAATCGGAAAACGTCCTTTTCTCGTTTCGTAGGCTTAAGTTTGATGGTCATGTTTGTTAAAAATAAACCCTTAACTGAGTTGAGTTTTGTGAAGGGTTAGTCCCTTTGTAGCTTAAACATTTAGTGTTAGATTTGAAGGTGAGAAGAATATTGCGTAATATACCTTTTAATGAATGCATGGAATAATTTTTCGGTGGGAAAAAGAATATTGTGAAAGAGTCATAGATTGGTTATTTTAACCCTTGCTGTATTGCAATTGGTCGTGGTAAATTTATCAAAAGAATATTTATGAATATAACCTTAACTAATTGAAATTGTGCTCAGTTTGACCATGGATCTCGACCAACAAACACAACTTTGGATTGAAAGAGCGCTCGGTGAGGTTGAGAGAGATCTTTCTTCCCACTAACTCTTTGGTTGATGGTACGCCATTGCCAAAGACTAGTGGAGGGTCCGATTGAAGACGCTAGAGGCCCGGTTGGAGAAGCATTTTTTGTCCAAAGTGGACGATCGAAAGATCGCCCACTGAAACAACTACGCCTTTTGAAGGAAATGGCTATAAAGGACGAACTGAACGAAGAACTGCTTTTCTACGCTCATTCCTTGAGCAGTAGAAAACTTCAACAACGGCTCCTTTAGGAGCCACCAAATTGATGAAAGTCAACGATCAACAAATATCTGTGCTATCAAAATTGCGCCAAAACAACTTGGCGCCAAAAGGTAGCCGCAAAATTAACTGCTAACACAACTGCAACTGATGGAAATATTTTCCTCAGAAAATAGCAATACAGGAAAAAAAAGCTTTGGTGTAGTTTCGTTGGATATTGATTTCTGGTGTAAGATCGAACCAAAATCTAACCGCCAAAAATGTGGATGCGAAACTTATTATGCAACTCATGGTAAGCTTTTTGAGCATAGGTTATTAGCATACATAATCAAACTTGATCAGATTAATTGTCCACGATTTTGTGAGTGCAAGAAAAGAAGCGGTGCAAGAAAAGATGACACCAAAACAAGGGCTTTTTTTTAATTGAAAATCATAAGCCTATAACTGGAATTTTATTTTGTGTACATAAGTTCACCTTAGGCAGCAAATGATTTGTTAGAAAATGTCCAAGATTAGTTGGCAACTACAGGTAAAGCGAATTCTTAACCATACACTGTAGATCCGTAAAATAACTTTTTTCAATTAAGTGTCTTTGAGTACAACGCACACAGTGTTAAACAAAAGCTAGAAATTGTTCATTAAGTGTACACGAGCGAGTATAAAATACTTTTAAATGATTTACAAGTTATCACAGTTCAGTTGCGGAAAACGTTACCTATTTCCTGGAATGGTTCGTACCGGCAAACTAGTCGAATTCTTTATATGATTTGGAAATGAGCGCGTAAGCTAGATCACTTCCTTCATGAGTAATATTTAAATTTTACCCAAAATGTCTAAGTGCTAGAAATTTTGGTGTCAATTCTAGAGACTAAGTTTAATTTTCATTAAAATATTGGTTAAATTGGCTATGATTTTTACATTGACGGTGGCTCCTAAAAGAGCCGTTTGTTTTTACCTACAGCACCCTGTAGGGATTAATATGTGGAAAGCCAAAGCTTTCGCTGTTTCAAGAGGTTATGATATCCCACGAAAACGGATACGCGGAGATAATGCGGAACTTGTCCGCGACCTTTGGCTTATACGAATAATAGACGCAGATCTACTATAGTGATGCAACAAAGTGTTTAGTAGGATGGACAGTCTTAAACGACACGTGAAAATACATGCTCAAAGAAAGGAGTTTCAATGCACTACCTGTACTAAAATTTTCTATCGTCGAGATAAGAAAGCACAACACGAAGCTTCTTGTAGTAGGTTGGAAGCAAGAAAAGAACAACAACAAAATGTGCCATTTGAGAGATTGAAAGCAGAAAATCAAACCGGAGGAGCATCATTAGCATTTAAAAGCACAGAAGCGGACGAATGTCAAAGTGGACTAAATGGAAACCTGAAACTACGTTAATGAAACCAAGAGTAAATGAAAAATATGACTTGAAACTATTTCTGCAAGGTAAGAGAGGTAATGTACTAAAACATTTGGAAAGAGCGTTTAAAGAAAAGAGAGGTGTTAAATGGCTCATTACAGTACAAGTGAAAATGGTGAAATATAGACAGGATGGAAATGATCAGTTTTCAGTACCTTTCTTTAGAAGCAACTGCCAGCGATTGATCAACTTGAATGAGCTATCAACCAGTATGAGGAATGTGTTGGCAAAATAACGGAGTCATTTCAAGCTTACCAGCGTGAAGGGAGTGGATGGCAACTTCTCGAGGTAAATTTTACTTTCTTTATGATAAAGTTCTTCCTACAATTTGACTCTGGAGTTCAAAATATGTGGGTTGGAAAAAAAAACGTTTGAATATTATGTTTCTCAAACTAATGAAATCTCTAGTGATTTTCATGTTTTTCATTGAAAGTACCTTTTGTGATCTATGCAGATTTCAAGTCGATTTTATTACCGTGTAAACAAGAGAAGTTGAATGAAGATAAAAGGGTCCTATACAGAAAAAACACACGAGCATCAAGCGAGTGGTTTCTGTTATGTCGTACTGTCAGATGTCGAGGATTTTAACATTCCACCTGTTGTCTATAGAGGGAAAATGCGGTTGAGAAATTTTTGGAATGTTTGTTAATGGAATAAAAAAGGATTAGCTCTATCTTAAAGCAAGTGGTACCAATGCAATTAAGTGTGCTAGCTGAGCAATGTTTTCAAACGGCAACTCACTGTCATATATGTGAGGAAGAGTTAGGAACAGATCGCGTTAGAGACCACTGCCACCTTACAGGGAAATTTTGAGGTGCCGCTCATAACGACTACAATTGAAATTTTAAGTTTACCTCACGCATACCACTAGTTTTTCACAATCTGAAAAATTATCATGCACACTTGATATTCAAAGCAGTGGGATTTATAAAAAATAGGCCAATTTCGTGTATACCAACCAATGATGAAAAGTATATTTCATTTTCCATAGGGGATTTGACTTTTATCGACTCTCTACAGTTTTTGAATGCCTCATTAGAAAAACTAATTTCAAACTTACAAAAGAAGGGTTTGAGAAATTTAGAGTTCTCAAAAGCTACATCGAAGAGGAAAAAATACCGTTATTGTTAATGAAAGGTGTTTACCCCTATGAATATTTTGAAAGCTTTGAAAAGTTTTCAGAAACAGTGCTGCCTCCAAAATCATTCCTTTTGTTAGCAGTTGTATTTAAAAATTTCAGGGGAATTTGTTTAAATTACTATAAATTGGACCCGGCGCATTTTTACACAGCGCCAAGTTTAAGCTGGGCTGCGTGTCTCAAGATGACAAACGTAGAATTGCAACTTATTACAGATATAGATATGCATCTATATCTCTAGGCTGGTTTACGTGGAGGGTTGAGTGTAATTAGTAATCGCTATAGTAAGGCGAATAATAAGTATCTAGAGATTTTAGACCACATGGAGAATCAAAGTATATCATGTACTTAAATGCGAATGACTTGTATGGTTATGCCATGTCGCAATCGTTGCCTGTAGAATAATTTTGTTACTGCCTAGTTCAATTTACTTGCTAAAAAGTTGTAATGAGTGATAAAAAGGCGGGACTAATAACCATTGTACGATATTCCAACAAGAAGCTTTTAAACGAAAACTTTAGCACTGTACGCGAATTGACAAATTGTGCATTTTAGAGTAACGACATTAGTAGTAAAGGGGTTGATATGGCAAGTAACCAATCACAGAGAGGTATTCTTTTGTTAAGTTTTAGACAACAACTGGAACAATGGAGCTCATTCGTATTCAGTACTTTGAACCAATCACAGAACAGCAAGAGCAATGACGTCATTTATGTAATATGGCATGGAAAAAGCACGTGTTTTTATTGAGGTATAAAATGTTTCGCGCCATCTGTTGTATTAGTATTCATAAAAAAGTGGCGCCGTTAGCTCTAAACAAAGTTAACTTGGATCGATTTGTCGACGTAATAAACCAGTTGCAGACGGACGTATCTGAACAGTACAGACTCCTTAAAAGACAGAATCAGTTTGCTTTGCGTCGGCTGGAGAAGAAACAAGCAAAACAAATTATATCTACGGAAGAAATGTATTTGTACCGAGAGTTTTACCACAGACAAACAAAAATGGCGGAAGGAGTTATTAAGCGGCTTATGACACACACAATCAGGTTAGCAGCATATAACAAACGTTTACAGTTGGATCAGCCTAAAGATCACCCCGTAACACAGGCCTACTTTCAAGATATTGTTTATAAAACAGTGGAACAAGAGAAACTTGTAAAAGAATTGAAGAAAGCGATTCTGGACATATATATTTTCCTGCATCCAAATGCTACCAATTGACATACACTCAATTTTTAAAAAACTTTGTTCAATCAAGTCTACGCAAATGAACAGTAAAGTAAATCAAGTGGTACGCTATGTGTAGTAAAAGCATTCGTATTTCCTGAGAACTATTAGAAAACAACAATAAAATTATAGAAAACTTATGTAATTACTTTTCACACAACAAGATTGAGGTACATGTTCATTCATCAAACAACATTCAAAAAGTTAATCTTGTAGTGTTCATGATAATTCGAATAAATAGTAGTGCCTTGTCCACACATTAAAGACTGGTTCGTAAACATCCTCTTGCTGTCTTGAATAAAGTCTATACCAGTCTTTTTTTTCTTTATTCTTGGACCACTTTGGGTAATCTGTGAT